TTCCGTATAGTATAATAATACTAAATATACATTATTATTTATTATTTATAAATATATTAAATAATAATAATAAATAAACATGAATAATTAGCTAATATAAATATAGATTACCAGTAAATCACTTTCAAAGGGAACCAGCTGTGCAGAGCTTGATCCTGACCTGGGGGCACGACCAGGACGGTCAGCAATCACTCCTGCTCTGTTCACTGAGACAGGAACTATCCAATGGCATTTTGGCCTGTGCAAGGAACAGTCCCATTCAACAGAATTAGTGGGAGAAGCTGGGGATGGGGCATTAGTTGCCCCATTATATATAACCCTGGATCTTCTCTTTCTTCCCACTGGGAGCACAGTGCAGTGGTAGCAATAAGTGCATCTTTTAAAGCAAGCCAACAATTTTTGAATGACAATTTATTTACATAGGCGAGGAGAAATAGCTTCTTGGCAACTGTGTACATGCCAAATGCTGATTTTCTATTTTAACTTCTAGACACAATGGCAATTGGCTTATTTGGAAGATGACGGATTATGAACTGAAGGGAGAGCTAATGAGGGAGGAGCAAACATGAGCCCAAATCTGCACTTTCCCAGTGCACCACCTCAATTTACAGCTTGGTGAAACACCTGAAATTGGGTTTGGGTCCATGGAGCTTTTGAAATAACCAAACAAATTTACTTTTAGCTGCAAATATGAAGTAACTTTAAAATAGGAATGACAAGCTGGACAATCCAGGAAAACAAGGAAGAGTGTGGGAACCATTTGTTAAGGCTACCAGGCTACCTTTGAACATCTGCAGGGTAGATGACTCCTCCCTTTTTTGTTACAGGCACTTGGGAAGGGACAAGAAATGAAATCTGTAATAGGTGAATCATTGTTTTTCACCAGCAATTAGCGTTGCCTATTAAAACTGTCAATAATTACTCAGATGGTGTTCCTAGCACAATATTTAGGGAGTTAACAGGAGGTTGGCAAAAAAATACTCCAGCCATCCTTCAAAAAAATAACCCAAAGACAACATGTTTCATGGCTCCTTCTCCGGCATCACCTGGGTCCATCCCTTTTGCAGCCTTACAGCAAACAAAACACAGCTCCTCTATCTCTACCTTGGTATGAGGCTTCTCAAGATGGGAGAGCCATAGTTCTGCCCACATCTGGTTTAGCAGTGTGTTTAAGAGGAAAAAAGTGCTTCAATTGCTTAATTTCTCCTTTTTTCTGATCAGTGCTGGTGATAATGGTTTCCTTGTTATGGCTTGTAGACTCCAGCACACTGCTGTATTGAAGCACAGGAGGGCTCAAATCTGACTCTTAAATAAAAAAGGTTTTGGTTCCAGCACAGCATGTTTGTAAAATATCTACTGACAAGTCAAAAACTGTTCCACATGGCCTGTAAAACATATGTTAAAAATTATGCATCATAGACCAGCTTTAAATTATTCATTTTTAATTCCTTCAGCCTTGAAGGGCCTTTAAACATTGACTACTAAGAAACAATCCTGCCACTGAGGGAACAGCTATAAAATAAAAAACTGGCTACTTGAAAATATAGAGAAAAATGCTTTACCTAGGCACAGTTTCTGAATTTTAAAATATGAATAAAGGTCTGGATCCCCACTTGGTAAAAGCTGATACAGCTCCTTTGAAGTCTGCATAACTATCCCCCATCAGCAGTTGAAAGTCCTGGCCCAGACTTTAGAATAGATATAGTTTCTCTACATAAGACGACAAGCAAGATTTGCATGGTTAGTTCAAACTATTCCATATTCACTGAGCTGTTGAGGAAATACTGTCTGTGAAACAAATCCTGGATTCTTTCCCAAAACCATCTAAATGACACTTGCTAGTGAAATGCTACAGCAGGAGAGGGATCGGATCCAGCACACTGGGCTGGACCCTGCTGTAATTCCGAAGGCATTATCAGAGAGCACTTGTTACCTCCACGCTCATTGGGCTGCATCAGGGAAGTTGAGAGCATCTGAAGGAATTGAGTGTAATACTGATATAAAAAGGAGAAATAGGCTCTACACTTGCTGCTTCATGTGGATTTGATCTTGTTCTCTTCTCTTGGCTCAGCCAGGTGCTGGCAGAGACCTGCGGATCTTCCCCAAGCTCTGCACTTCTCCATGCTACACCAGTATCACTGTGTCATGCCTCCCTAAGGCATCTCTGGGGCAAATACATTCCTCTTCTGCTTTGCTTTACAGAAAGGAGCCTTTCTGAGCAAACCCAGCCACCATCTCCTCCTTGCAACTTGTGACCGAGGTTGTTGTGGCTGGAGAGGTGCACCATATCTTTTCTCTTGTGTGCTTCAGATAAATGGTGCAGAGACAGGACTGAAAACACAGAATAAAATAAAATAAATTTTAAACATATATATTTATATATCACTCCCTTTCTTCAGTCACAGAATCATAGAATAGTTTGGGTTGGAAGGCATCTTAAAGACTATGTCATCTCACCCCCTCTGCCATGGGCAGGGACACCTTCCACTAGACCAGGGTGCTCAAAGCCCCATCCAGCCCAGCCTTGAGCACTGCCAGGGATGGGGCATCCACAGCTTCTCTGGGGAACCTGCACCAGTGTCAACTCGATTAAGGACATTCTTGGCTGCTGGGTCCAGCTTTCCTTGATACAACCTAGTGAAACTTTATATGTTGTATGATGATAAATCAGCTTTTTTACTAGCTACATTTTTTTTTTTTCTGTTGAACTCATGGAGAGACCAGGTGTGGTACAACAGGCAGTGAAATGCAGAGTGCTCAGACTCTTCTTCCTCATCCCTCTCTCATTCCCTCCCTCCATAAATGCTTGGGAGAAATCTCCAAACCTGATGCACAACCCTATTACTAGTGAGCTGTTCCCCAGAGATTCTTTTTCATAAATAGTCCCACTCACCCATTATTATTGTGAAACAAATGAAGCACCAAATTCAGCCAATTTGCCTGAAAGTATGAGAGAATCAAGGCAAAAAGGTAACAGAGACACTATCAGACGGTCAAATTGGAGCTCCTCATCTCACCTCCAGCAAAATGTCAAGCAGCTCCTGGGAAAAAACAGTGAACAGCTATTTAATAGACTGTTTCCACCACACAGTAATTCCTTGTATTGATACAGTCCTCGTAAAAGAAGACTAATGTGCTTTTTTTTTTCTTTTTTTCTTCTTTTTTTTTTTTTCTTTTAATGCTCATTATTGTAGATTAAATCCCTTCCAAACTCTGTTTATGAAGGATATAACACTATGCTGCTCTTCAGTATTCAGAGGCAGGATTTAGTGACGGGGTGAGTCCCTCGAAGGGCTTGTACAGGTTTATGCTCCCTCAGCAGAAAGCTCAGGCTGTCACAGGTGCTCTCACCCGCATGCAAATGTCTGCACAGCACGGTACACGATGTGACACCGGTCTAAATCCACACTCAAGCTTTTACTAATATAACTCTATGGAAACAAGCTCAGTGGTGATTGATGAATTACAGCTCCCACATAGCACGTTACAGTTTCCAGTGGAAGTACCTTGTGCTGGATTTAATAAACCAACAACGTGGGCAGTTTCAGCAAGTAGATTAATCACCTGTAAACTCGTCTGCCTCACAAAGGGAGTTGTGCACTGGCTGTCCAGTGTTACGGAACATGTTTTTCAGAGCTCAGGAATGCATTCTCCTCTCTGATATGTGCTGTGCATGTTCACTGTGCATATTTGCCTGCCTACGGAAGGGTGGAGGAGAGAAGATCAGAGATCATTTGCTTCTTTGGAGGTGCTATAATCCCCCACTTCTAGTCATGACCCCAGTCTTTAAACATCTCATGGCTCCAGTCTTTACAGATTGACACTAAAAAAGCCAGCATTATGTTGTTAAATAGTTTTAGCAGACACTTTATCACTTGAATGTATCTGTCTGGGGGATTCTTTAATGATGCTGCTTTCTTTTTAATTCTACAGGTTTTTATAGTCACCTTAAAAATGTCTGGTGCGGGACAGAAAGAAGAGGGCTGAAGTACCTGTCCTGTAAAAACAGGCTAAGGGCAGGGATTGTGCAGACCAGAGATGAGAAGTCACTGGGGAAACCTTACAGCACCTTTCAGTAGGGCTGCAAGAAAGCTGGAAATGTTTTTTTGGATTTTTTGTCCCCCCAAGGGAATGTAGTGATAGGACAAGGGGGAATGGCTTTAAAATGAAAGAGAGTAGGTTAAATTAGATATTCAGAAGACATTCTTTCCTGTGAGGGTGGTGAGACATGGGACCAGGTTGCCCATGCCAGTTGCAGATGACCCATCTGCCAAAATGTTCGAGCCCAGGCTGGACGGAGCTCTGAGCAACCTGGTCTAATACAAGGTGTCCCTGTCCGTAACAGGGGGGGTCGAAACTAAATTGTCTTTAAGGTTCCTTCCAACCTAAACCATCCTATGACTCTGTGAATATCGACTATGAGCTATTTTTATTAGCGATGCCACACAGATTTTCTGCCCTGAGAAGCGCCGAATTTCTTTCCACTTTCCCTGCTGCCTTTGGGATCCACGCAGCCCAATTTCAGACACAGCAGTTTGGGGCTTGTGGCAAACACAGACATTCCTGGCAGATGACTCTCGGGAGGACCCGAGAGCCGGATTTCATCGCGGCGGCGCTCGGGGTGAGTCCGGGTTCGCCTCGCACCTCTGAGGAGCCCGGCTCCGCGGCCTGGGGATGGGAGGGGAGCGGGGCGACATGGGGGGCAGCGACGGGGGCAGCGATGGGGGGCACCTGGGGCCTGAGCCGGGGCTGCTGAGGGCTGGAGGGGAGGTGGTGAGGGGAGGCGATGAGGGGAGGCGATGAGGGGAGGTGATGAGGGGGTGCTGGGGGGTCCGCCCCTCCCGGCCCGGCCCCGAGGAGGAGCCGGGGCCCCGCGCAGTCCACGTGGCCGAGGGCGCGCTATATGAGCGGGCAGGAAGCGCCGGGGAGGGAGCGAGGGGAGGGCGCCTGGAGCCGCTCGGCGGGCAGGGCCGGCAGACAGACAGACAGACGGACAGACACACGCACACACACACACACACACACAGACAGACAGCTCGGCGGCAGCCACAGCAGTGACCGTCCGTCCGTCCGTCCCCCCGGCCATGGGGCTCGGCCGGCCCCCCGCACCCCGCCGTGAGTACCACGGGACCCCCTCCTTCCTCCCCGCTTACCTGCGGATCCCCCGCGGCTGCAGAAGGCGCGCTGGGAGCCTCCCAGCCTCCTGACTCCTCGTTCGGCTCTTGAGTTGTTGGGGTTTTTTTTAAAAAAAAAAATATTTCTGTTATTTAGAAGCAGGGGTGGCCCCGGCGCTGGCGGAGCTCGCAGCATCCTCCGGTTCGGTGCCCCGGAGCGGGGAGGCTTCTCCCGATCCAGCCGGGATTTCCCCACTGGAGGGAGGCAGAGGGGAGGCGGCGGGTGCCAGGGTGGGCTCCGGAGCAAAGGGGCCCCTTCGGGCGATGCTCGGGGGGCGACAGCGCCGGGGATCCCCCCTCCAGCTGCCCCTCGGGGACCGCTGGAGACCGGCACCCTGCTTGTTCTGTGCCATTTCTTTCTCCCCTGGGTAAGCTGTGCGCCGAAAGAGTAAAGCCAGCGTTACTCCTTTAGAGGGCAAAAAGCTAGGTGTTTTTGGTATCTGCTCGCACATTCATCCTTGCAGAATTAATTTTTAGAGGAGCATGAATAACTAATCTTCGAGGTCAGCAGTTTGTTTTTATTGTACTTGGTATATTTTTCTCGGTAGCAAACATCCATCCCAGGTCTTTAGAGTGATTGTGTGTAGTCTTGGCACAAATTAAAGCAAGCTAGTAAAAAAAAAAAAAAAATGCCTCGATGTACATTTATTCATTTGAGGCACACAAGATTTTTCAACTCTTTGTAACGATTGTGCTTGTATGTATCCAATATACTGAAATAACACATTCACGTAATTGTAAGTCTAAATTATATATTTGTCTGCTGGGCACATATGTTGAAGGAAAAACCTCCCTAATTATGGATCTTTCAGAGAGATTGGAAGGGTGACAAAGCCCTTGTAATCTTTTGGGTCAATTTTCATAAGCTCCAAAAGCTCCCTTTGAAAAGGAAATTAAATTTCAGTGTACAAAAGGGACAGGAGATTCAAGGATATAAAAAAAGAGTCTCTTATTCTACTTTGATCTTGTCCTCAGGAGTTCATTTACTTTGGTGCTCTTCAGTGACACAAGTTAAAATGAAGAGTTGTCTTTAGCTGGAGTCTTCCTGCCTCTTGGCATTTTGGGAGGTACTCAATTAGCAACACACACTCCTGTATATTATTTACACAGCTTCAGCTGGAGGGGTGGCTCTGTGTGGAGCATCTGCTTGGAAGCACTTGGCTTGTAACATCCACAGCATCCTGTGGCACCCATGCCAGCCAGAGCCTTCCACAATGTGCTCACCCCTCCTCAGTTCTTCTGCCCCAGTCTGGAGGCACTGGTGCTCTGCACAATGTCTCGACAGAGCTGCTCTCGTGTTAGAAGCTGGGGGTGGCCCTGAGTTCCTTCTCCTGCTTTCAGCAGAGGCAGAGTGTTATCTGCAGGGCAAGGCTGTGCTGAGGTCCTTTCTGGGCTCGTCTGGGAACCTGACAGTTTTCAATTGAGTGCGTGTCCAGTTGGTAGCTGGGGGTAAAGGAGGGAATGGTTGGATGTGAATGAAATTAATGGATCTGCTTATTAGTTAATTGCATGTGTTTTCTTGATTATCCTGGAAACCAGAAAGACCCAACATAGGTCTATGGTGAACTTGGTGCTCTTTTCCTCTACCAATTTCTCATTTAATTTACTCTGTAGGGTAACATTTCCATGCCAAGAGATTTAAATTCTGTGCCTCAACAAAGTCCCAGTCTATGGTTCTGCCAAACCAGCTTTAAAGTTATCACTAAGTTTTTAAACTACAGTTCTGCTAATACACATTTATTTTACCTTTTTGCTTAGTAGAAGCATTGTCTCTGAAAGTGTAAAAGAAGAGAGAAATTGTATTATTTATTCTTTTGTCTCACTCACTTGGTGCACAATTTGATTCTGCAGGGGAGACACCAAGTTGCTCTGTTTGTATGAGTTGGTCACACATCCTGGCCAGAAACGAACTTGAAACCTTCTTTGCAGTTTTTCTTCCAAACTTGATTATATATTGGTAATGGCCTCTCAATTGAGGAAGGTTGCTTTTCAAACTGAACATAATTTTATATAAGTCTTGGTATGTGCTTATCTTTTTTTTTTTATGTTTATGTAAAACTGGGAGCAACTTGAGAGGAAATTAAGGTCATGCAGATGGCAGTTCCATCTTCTAGGTTATAAAAACATCTTTTATGTCAAGTGAGTTGCAAATGCTGCCATTAAATGATAGTAGAAGTAAATTTTTACTTGGAACATCTTTTGCACCCATTTTTAAAAGCATAGCGAAGCAGAAACCTGCTTTTAAAAAGCAAAGGAGAGAAAGCAAACTCAGCTCCACAGCATATTTCAAGTGCTGTTAATCTCACCACCTGGTGGAGCTTTTCATGGCTCTGGCTGAGGGAACTCTGAAAAAGATGCATTATTTTGTCTTATTTCAACACAATCACATGCCACATGTGGAGTTCCTTCAACTTTTTTCTTATTTATACCCGACTTAATTAATTTTCCATGTCTTCTGTATCTTTTATACTTTGCAGCAGGCAGCATAGGACTGTTGGTGTCTCACCTGAAGCAGCAGATAGATGAACTGGTAAAGCAGGAGATAAAGTTTTCACCTACAAATACTTAAGTGGAAGAATTATTTTTAATAACCAGACCCTCTCCCAGGATACTCAGGTGTAATCTTTCTGTGCAAGCCCAGTTAGCTTTGTACTAATAATTTTTATATTTTTATATAAATATTACTCTAAAATATTTTTATTTACTATAAAATATTTTCTAAACAGCCTGTTTTCAATTAACCTGGCAAGGAGCAGAAAGCAGATGTATGTTGAACTGATCTGAGATTCCTGATGTAGGTAATTAAAACATGGGAATGAATTCCGGGAGATAAGGTGCAGTATGGCAGATACACTTTGCCTCCCTCTGCCACAGTCTTGCTTGACTGCATCAAAACCTGTCTGTTGTGTTTATGGTGTGCCTCCTAAGTGATAAATGAAAATCTAACTCACAGGTATGCAAGCTGAAAGTAAACTCTGGGGTTATCTGTCAGCTCACAATTCAGAGGAATTGCTTACAACAGCGAGAAAGCTCCCTGACCCATGCAGACATTTCCTGCACATGACATGCAGCCTTGTGGGCAAAACACTGCTCTAAGTGTTTGTATTGCTCTTTTTGCCACAGAGCCTGTGGCAGCAGCCAGCAGACCAGTGGAGGCCGTGGCTAGCCTAGGAATGTGACAGCTGCCATCTGCATCTCCAGTCCTGGCAGCAGTGGTGTGCCTGGTGCCACTGGTGGAAGGGACAGCTGCCTTGCCACCCATGCAGAGCATGTCTGCATCCCTCTCTGGGCTAGCTTGGTGTCTGATCCATTGCCTTGTGGGTATCTGCTCTGTATCACCCAACATGTGTCTGCTCCAGGGAGCTGGGAATCTCCTACCAGGCTTCAGGGATCTTGGTTTCTCAACCATTGTCTCTTAGTGCCAGGTGGTTCAAACAGCACTATCTGCCCTTGTCTTCTGGTGCCAGTACAGAACAACGTGGCTGGCTGACACCTGGGACTGTATTTGAGACTTCAGGAGGGTGGGTTTGAGGTCCAAGGTATCTTCAGTGGCACCTAAAATGTGTTTGGCAACTGAATTGACCCTATGGGAGCTAAGTGTGTTTTCTGAGCACAAACCTCTATGTTATGAAATAGATAATATAAATAGATAACGTTATCTACATAAGCAGTCTCTGTTCAGGCTGTATGTCTGTTAGCATACACTTCTTGTGACCCCTCTTGTCCTGATAAGGCCTCTGAGCTGACCTGGCACTAATTAACAGCAACCACAGAGCAACTGCTGTCACTTTTCTGGTCACCTTTCCCACTCCTATCCCAACCTTCTCTTCCCACTGGTGCCGAGAGTCCCATGCTCTGGTTTGTAAATAGTAAGCTCAAGTCACTTTGTCTAAAATGTCCCATCAAACTTTGAAAAGCTCGTTTAAGTTACACAACACCCTCAAGCTGTGGAATGTGGAAAATGGGGGGTCTTGACAGAAAAAAATCACTTGTTAAAAATCTCCCCATAGTATTGGTAGAAGCTTGCTCTGAAGCATGAGTCAAGATTAGGAATGTCATCAATTGTAAAGACTGTAGTAATTGTTAAAATGCAATTCTGGGGGAAAGGAGGGTGGAAAGCAATTCTTTCCTGGCTTTGCTTTAGTTTGAACTGCCTGTGATTAAGTTGCTTCATCTGGACTGACGAGCACGTCCTTCCTCAGGGAGAGGAAGATTTGTGCCCTGTGTACAAGATGACCAAACCTCTGAGCAGAGAGGAGTTGAATTATTTCAGGAAACCTGTTAACCTCATCAAGCTACATCTGTTTCACTGGGCCAGTCCCACAGCTCCTTCTGCCAAGCAATTGCAAGGTATCGTGGAACGCAAGAGACACAAAGAGACGAAGTGGTTGAAACCTGCACCTGGGGACAAATGTTGGAGGTGTAGCTGTCTGTCTCTGAGGACATCATCTCAATAGAACTCCTTTTTGTTTGTTTTTTCTTTTCCATCTCTTTGGAAAGTCCTTTGTCCCAGCAGGTTTTCGGTTCAGGCTCAGCTTTCCATCCCAAGAGATTTGAGGGGAGGACAAAGGAGGAATGGGTGGCAGGTTAGAGCCCACAGGATTCAAGAACAATGTTCCCCACCTTGCTGGTGCCTGACAGAGGACTGCTGCTGGCATGGAGGTGACCACACATACTCTTGGTATCCCCAAAACTCCTGCAGTGGACTCCTTATGCATCCCTTTGGAGGGTTGTTCTGCAGAGTAGAAACTGGCACAGTGACACTGAGGTATTAAATCTGATGCATTTAGAATGTCTCTGGGCTAAATAATTGCACTGACATTTTCCAGGATTCGTGGAGTTTTGGATTTTTTTTTGTTTTTAGAGCTTTGGTACACCAATACAAAACAAAGGTTTTTCCTTTTAAAGGACACTACATTATTTCTAGAGGCTGGATCTTCA